CTCCAACCAGCACTACATAAAACAGTAATTCAACCAGCACTACGTAAAACAGTCATCCAACCAGCACTACGTAAAACATCCATCCAACCAGCACTACATAAAACAGCAATCCAACCAGCACTACGTAAAACAGTCATCCAACCAGCACTACGTAAAACAGCAGTCCAACCAACACAAAGTAAAACTGTCATCCAACAGCACTACGTAAAACAGTCATCCAACCAGTACTATGTAAAACACTAATCCAACCAACACAGCGTAAAACAGTCATCCAACCAGCACTACGTAAAACAGCAGTCCAACCAACACGAAGTAAAACTGTCATCCAACAGCACTACGTAAAACAGTCATCCAACCAGCACTATGTAAAACACTAATCCAACCAACACAGCGTAAAACAGTCATCCAACCAGCACTACGTAAAACAGTCATCCAACCAGCACTACATAAAACAGCAGTCCAACCAACACGAAGTAAAACTGTCATCCAACAGCACTACGTAAATCAGTCATCCAACCAGCACTACGTAAAACAGTCATCCAACCAGCACTACATAAAACAGCAATCCAACCAGCACTACGTAAAACAGTCATCCAACCAGCACTACGTAAAACAGCAGTCCAACCAACACGAAGTAAAACTGTCATCCAACAGCACTACGTAAAACAGTCATCCAACCAGCACTACGTAAAACAGGCATCCAACAGCACTACGTAAAACAGTCATCCAACCAGCACTACGTAAAACAGTCATCCAACCTGCTGTTTTACATAGTGCTGGTTGGATGACGGTTTTAATGAGTTAGTTACAGTTTTTCCATTTCAATCAGAATATCAGGTTTGGGAGTGTTTCAGTCAGTTGTAGGTGGTGAGGATTCTCATTCATCTTTCTAAGACATGGTAAGAGTAAAGTCTTTCCGCTCTGTCGTGACAGTCTTGTAGCTCTTGTCACTCAGATTGAGTCTATCAGAAGATTTCAGTCAGTCAGACAGTTAGTTTTAGTTTAAACAGTTAGTAATTTATTTTCACTCAATTTGAATCAGTTTCAGCCAGCCAGTCAGCTCTTGACACCCATATGTTGACGTGAACATCGGCCGATCTCAGAGTAGTTACTATATCGACTCCAACATCTGACCTCCTAATGATTCTCCACCCTCACATGTCCCTGTTGCCATGGTAACACCCAGGCTGCCTTCATCTTCTCTTTCTTTAAAGTTTGTAGAGTCTAAACAGTCAGTGGCAGTCCAATTAAACTACTGCGTGGAGATTCAAAGATCACAAACTGTCTGGTCGCAATTCAAAAATAGAAAGTTAAGCGTGAGCCAGGCCTTTGTGTCTTTAACACAGGTTTCATGTATGCATAAAACTGAGTATCATCAGCATGGAAATTTAACCAGCAATGTCTAATAAACTGATCTAATGGAAACATTTATGTAGTAAGCATGCCTGACTCAAGATGGAAGTAGGTTCTTTAAAAACGTGAACAAACTGGAATACATCCGAAAAATAGGACTTAAACCCTTTTAAAGCTGCTCCCATCGTATTCAACCCCCTGGAACAGATTATTGGGGTCTTCTGGATCAAAAGCTGAACTGAGATCTAACAGAACAAGGATGACACCAAACCGCACCAAAGCAAATCATGCCACACAGAGTTGGTATTCACAGAAGAAGCCAATATTTGGGCCAGTAGAGACACCAGTCCACCGTCTGTCTAATGAAAGGAATGTTCTGTTGTGTTTGTGTTTCGTCTAACCCTCCCACTGTCTTCATGGGTGACCCCGCGAGGAAAGTTGACCACTGAGCAGGGTTGATGGTTTATCCCTTGAGGTCCACGTGGCAGGGGTGAGGTGGTGCTCACTCCTCCTCACCCCTGTCAGACAGTGCGAGGGTTAAGGATTTCTTTTATACGCCCTATTTAGAGTCTGGTGCATTTCATTATGAGAGACAAGGTACCAAAATTTGCTCCAAAGAGTAAGAGAACGGTATGTTTTAATGGTTGTCTGACAGTATCCAAAGAAGAAAACGTTACAAAATCTTTAATCATAACAGGTTAGGTTAGGGTGATCCAGTGAGTAAAGCGTTCCTTTTGCCCAGAAAGTCATTTCTTCAGTGTTTTGAATTGACCCAATTGAATTGAAATCAGATTAGTAATATTTAATTCCTTCTGAAGGTTATTCCAATAAGAAGGAAGAAAATAAATGTATTCTAATTCTGTTTGGTTCTGCATTTGGACAGCACTAGAATACAGACCAGGGTGGTTTTCATCGTGATGTAAACACACAGAAGGGGTCAGACAAGGAGAGACTTGTAAACAACAGGCATCCAGTAATTAAATCTGTGAGTTTACAGAGCACAGAGATACAGCGTGATGCACTCCGATAACCCGGGTCCTTTTATCAGGTGCAGTTAAAAGCTGTGATTCAGTGTCATTCAACAAACGTAGCACGGGTGCAGAAAGAAGGTGCCGACAACGAGCCGAAAAGGTAAGAGAACATGATGTTTCCATGGGTGTTTGACCGTTTTCACTCTGTCCGGTGTTTTACCATCTTCTGTGGCCATCGGATTTTGTGACACTGGGGGGGCTTAAGAAAGAACGTTGGACCTTTACATTTTTTCCCAAACCTTTGCTTGAACAGCTTTTTCCAAGAACGTTGACTCTACTTTAGCAGCCTGCGCTACAGCTTCATTTACCAAAGACCGACTGATCGCAGGTTTTAAATAAAGGTTAAAAAATAATCATCCAACCAAGTGGAAGCCATTAGCCTTCTGTTTTTTTCTGTTCGACCATGCGACGAGGACTTTGATGGAACCCTTTGAGAACCTTCAGAAAGCGGCTGTTCCTGCAGTGTTTGCTGTGATTCTGAACGGAGTGCTGAGCTCTGCAGCGTCGACCTCAGCACTGGCTGAATAATTCATGCTGCTCTTGGGGGGGGGGGGGGGGGGGGATGAAAATTTAAGCACACAGCAGTTCAGCACTTATTTACTAATGCTGAGGAAAAAGCTCTCAGCCGGGAGGTTGGAGAATGCTGGGCTGACATTTGCAGCGATTGTCCTGAGCTCACATCCAGTCCTCCTGCTGCTGCTGAACGACCTCTGACCCCAGACTAGGACCCCTTCGGAGGATTTACACTGAAAACCTGGGTCATCTTTTTTGAACAATGCAAAGTTTCAGCAGTTATTCACATGTTGAGTTGAAGGACTGATCTGCAAAGTGTGAGGTCTTCAGATCCACGCCGCCTAGCTCTTATCACAGCTCCACTGAAACCAATCACACATTCCAGATCCAGGAACTTTGTCCTGTCAGACTCTGGTGGTGAGAATGGAGTTTTCTGTTTAATCTGTTGGGTGTTTTTCTAGTCGAGTTTAGATTAGAACCATTCAGAATCCGCGTACTGCTCCTGATATCTCTGCACCAAGTAAGTCATTGATGTTGAGTCCTCTAGCGCTAGATGTTCTCCTGCTGCAGCGCCTTGGGTTTTGTTGCTGAGCTGCTACTAGACCAGGGCAGTTTTCCTGATCCAAGACAACATATTAAATGGTTAAAGAGCAAGTCACCCCCTACCAGAGTATTACTCAACTCCCACTTCCTGTTTGAAAAATGCAGCAAATGTTGTTGCCTAGCAGACCGAGAGGTCGGAGCCACTAACAAATACACACACACACACACACACAGGCTCACACACTGACCACTTTCCACACTCGACTACTTTCTTCTACAGTCTGCTCTTTAACTGTATTATTTTCTGCTATTTCAGCTGTTAACTTTATTTTCTCTCTAAGTGTTTTCTCCCCAGAAGAAGCTACAATGATGTTCTGCTGAGCTGTGGTGGCCTCATGGAGGGGGCCATCGTCTAGCACACTGCTGCTAACCACTTAAACATTCTCCCTCTCCTGATAATAACTTTTTGTTTCCTTGACTTTGAACGTGCTACTACTAGTTTACCTGTTTAATTATAGATCCACTAGGATAAATACAATAAAGTTTATCTCTCACCAAATTGAATATTCACTAAGCAATCACGGTGTGCTTGGTGCGTGCGCGTGTGTGTGTGTGTGCGTGCGTCTGCTCTGTCTTCTCCATCCCCAGTGAGTCGTGGAGGATGGCTGCTTATACTGAGCCAGGATCCTCTGGAGGTTTCTTCCTGTTAAAAGGGAGTTTTCCTCTCCACTGTCGCTAAATGCTTGTTTAGTATGAGAACTGCTGTATAGTCACTGACACTAGTCAGTGACTTGATGCAGTTTGCTGGGTTCCTTATATATGAAACATTATTTCTGATTGGCTTAATGACCTGACCTGAATTGGAATGTTTATTATGTGAAGTGCCTTGAGACTCTTGTTATGATTTGGCGCTTTATAAATAAACTTGAATTGAATTGTGACATCATATGGTACCAGCTCACGTTCTAGGGTACCTCTTAGCCAATAGCGATGGCAGATTTAAATTCAAATGCAGTGCAGAGTTTAAACCTGACAACGGCACAACACTGACAGTTTTAGGCAGAAAATTAAAATTTTAACTAAAATGCTAGCCTAGTGAACCAGACCAAATTCTAGATGTGGTTCTGTCCCAAAATCAGTGGTTCCGGTGTGTGCCTGTGATGGCCAGCAGTTATAAAACGGGTTTGAATGCACACATAAATGTGTTTTACTAGAATAAAGTAAAGCTGTTTGGATGCAGCAGTAATGAAGTGTATTTCTGTGTGTCCAGCTGACACACCTTAACTGATGAGCAGCAATCATAGCTAACAATGTTTTTATGGCAAATACGGATACAAACATGGAGATGTTTAAATGTTAATGTGGTTTATTGAGTGTTAGAAATCACATGAATGGAGTTTCTGCACAGACCCAATCCTCTGTAGGGCACGTGAGAGTCACGTGAGAGACCACGTGATAACAACAAACGTGTATCTTTCTGTTGTCACCCACAAGCTTGTTTCACTAAACTAAAATAGAATATTTGACACAAACAAAAAGCACGCGCTCTCGAGCTGGCGCGCGCTCCCGACCCATGGCTTTGGCACGACACCGGTGTTTAGGAGAAACGGCGCCCCCTGGCGCACCATCGCATCTCACACCACCGGCACCGGAAGCAACGAAGAAGAAGTGAATTTGTTGTAAAGCTCGAAGCTCCGAACTCACCTAACGAACAGGTGCGACCAGAACCCGGTAAGAGCACGCAGTGGTCCCGCCCGAAACGGTTCCGGTAAAATACCCGAGCTAATGGCGTTATTAAACCCGCTCAGGTTCCGAACCAAGCGATTTGGACCGGGCCCGTTCACTCGTCCTGACTAAAGGCGTTCTTTCTGTGTGTCTGGATCGGGTCTGGACCAGGTTTTGTCGGATCCGAGTCCGCGCTAGGGGTGTGACCTCCTTTCCGTCCCGGATCCAGCCTGGTTCTGTCTAACCCGAACCGGTTCCAGAGGGCTGTATTTATTATTGTTGAGTTGACTCGGCTGGGTTTTCTGAATGGATAAGAATCTCTTTTATTGCTTTTTAGCAAATAAAAGTCTCCAGATTAAAATGAGCTTTTCAAAATAAAGTATCTGTCAGTGACTATTAACCAATCAGAGCTCCGAAAGAGGAGCTGCTCTATCTCTGTATACATGTATTATTACTCCGTCATTTAACTTCATTAAACCTCATAAAGATCAAATTTCATTAGCAGGAGTGGCCAGGTTCCTGAAGGCAGCACGATAACAGAGAAGTACACATAATCACACGCTACAAACAGAAACAAGAACAAAGACAACAACAGTTATCCCCAAATCAACTTATTTACTGATAAACTATCTAAACGAGTGTCTAATCATGCTGTAGACAGTGTGGTTAATAATTAGGCACATTAATGTATCTTAGTTAGAATTTAAACATTCTGCCTAAAACTGTCAGTGTTGCGCCATCTTCAGGTAAAAACTCTGCACTACATTTAAATCTAAACCCGCCATCGCTATTGGCTAAGAGGTACACCAGGGTTTCTCAACCTTTTTCAGCTAAACGATCCTTCCCAGTCCATGCCAGTTTGGGCGGTGGAAAAGGCCCTTTAGAGTCTTTAATTACCTGAAAATAGTTCGGTTCCTTTGAAGCTTTGTCGGGATGTATTTTGGACAAGTGCTCCTTAAGCCGGGAGGGTTTCATTGCTTCGTTTAAAAAAACTTGTTCACAAAGCAGGCACATGGGGAGTTGTGGATTCCTGAGGGAAGGAACACTCCTTTTTATTCTGAGCCATTGTCTGTTATGAACGTCCTGTATCGCTAGCGCCCACCATTAGCATCTCAGCACCCCTTATATAGTCTGAACGCCCACTGGGGGGCGCTACAGCCCCTGTTGAGAAACCCTGAGGTACACTATGACATTAGCTGGTATATTATGATGCCGCAGTGTGTGTGTGTGTGTGTGTGTGTGTGTGTGTGTGTGTGTGTGTGTGTGTGTAACAGGAATTGTTGATAAAGTATGAATCCACCCAACAGATGACCAACTTTAATGCACCTCTATCTGTTTAGGTACTGGAAAAGCCCCACCCCCTAGCTGAGCTCACCTTTAGTCATGGCTCTTATCTCTCTGGAAGATCTCGAGGGGTTGGACGATGAGCAGCTGGATGATGACATCAGCGATAACCCTGAGCCATTGGATGAGGAGGAAGGAAGACGCCTCCTTAATCACTGGCAAACAGTGGCAACCACGCATCAGGTGTCAGTTCCAGAAGGTAATGGGCGGGGCCAGACAGTTATGCTCCACCTACAAAAGCTAATTCTTACAGCCGTCATGTGGTTCCAGAAATGACCGGCCCTATCCAGGAAATGACCCGGAACAACCAGCACAGGGAGCCCCTCCCCTTCATCCTCATCTCCCGCCATGAGAAGGTAAAAGCCTCAGCGAGAGCGTTTACTAACGCAAAGTAATTTTCAGCCCTATAAAAGACTGCATACGCCCAGCTACGCACACTTTTTGCTTATTAAATTACGTTTCATAGAAAGTGATTTATGCAACTCTGAGACAGTTGTGCGTAAACAAGCTTTATAAACGAGGCCTCTGCGCTAGCGCTTATCCAGCTGAGTTCTGTAATGTGTGTCCTCGGAGTTCAGATGGGGGAGGTTCAATACGAGGAGCGGCTCTACCCAGCCGGATCGTGGGCTTGTGTGATCCGAGGAGAAAATCTGTATGAGCAGAGCATCTCCATGGCTTTCATGAAGCTGATGCGCTTCATCTGCAAAGAAAACTCTTCAGGTGAGACTGCAGCTGCTCCCAACAAACATGGCCGAATTAGCACCAGGTGACATCATAGCATCATGACTCCAGAACTTCTTATTGGTCATTGGCAGGCAGATACCTGGACATGACTGTACCTGTGGTCAGCAGCGTGCAGGTGATGGACGACGAGACGTTTCAGAGAGACGTGGAGATGGCGTTCTTCCTTCCAGCTGAGTTTCAGAGCAATCCCCCTCAGTCCTCCGACCCGGACGTCCGTGTGGTCTACAGGGAGCCGTTCAGGGTGGTTGCAAGGTGAGGACTTTGTCTGAAACTAGACTGGTTGTTATTCTCCAGGTTTTTTAGATCAAGCTTATTCACGCTACCTGCTGCAGGACATTCTTCGGGATGACCACAGAGGAGACGGTGAACCGTCAGATCCGCCTGCTGTGGGACCTCCTGGACCACAGGGACCACTTACATCATGACCGCTACATGGTGGCGTCATACAACCATCCAGGAGCACCGCGGCGCCGCAACGAGATCTGGTTCATCAGGAGAGACCTGTAGGCTCCTCCCACAACACAGCACGTCCCCTCCCTAATAGGTGGCCCTTGTTGGATCGACCAGATGAAGCATGCTTGTGTCTGTAAATAGATTCCAGGGTTTCCCCCGGCGCTTTATAAGCCTGGCTCATGCCCCGCCCACCTCCCCGACCCTACCGTGTCCGCTGACACGAACGGCGCAACGAAACTAGAGCCCTCCATCAGCTGATTCTGGTGAGAAACAGCAGCGGAACGTGTGCAACACCCCACCCCACCCCCCCCCCCCCCACGGAGGAGCGCCACAGGACGGAGCGCACGACCCCCCCCCACCCCACCCCCAGCTAATCCGCCAGGCTTAACATTTTCTGGGGGAAACCCTGGATTCTGACCCTCCCATTGGTTCACTGTACAGGAAGGAAGGATGCCCCTTCTGATTGGCTGCTGCCTGCAACTGTTCCAGGATCAGCAACCTTAGTGTGACGTCATAGTTTTGGAAATAACTTAAGTACGGTGAAGTACACCTTCTTAAGAAACTGTACAGTCACGTGTTCTGTAGCAGTCGTTGTGCCCTGCATGCCCAGGCGACGGGAGGCGGAGCCTGTCCTTCCCTCCGTCAGTGATCATAAACTGTTTTTAAACTGATTTTCTACATTCATTTTCACGTAGGATCATTTTTCTTCCAAATGAAAAATAAAAAGCTGAAACCTGTCTGAACACGGTCTTCCTCGTCTCCACTTCATATTTAAACGGTTTCCGTGGAAACGGTGAAATAACATGAAAGGAAAAACTGACTTTAAAGACTTTATTTACAAAATACCGTCAAGTCACCAGAAACGGGTAAAACACAAACAATTTAAAATAAAAAGGTCAGGAGGCGGGGCTCCACGGTGATGTCATCGAAGTTAGATCAGGTCAGCAACTGCAGAGAAAGACAGACATGAATGCAGCAACCAGACCGCCACCAGTGTTGCTATGGTAACAGTAACTCATACCATTCATCGGCATCTCATCAATCTGGGTGGAGTAGTACTGCTCGATGTCTCGAAGGATCCTGATGTCATCGTTCTTCACAAAGTTGATGGCCACACCCTTTCTGCCATAACGACCCGACCGACCAATCCTGGGCGAGATCAGAATGACTTAAAGTGGCAGGGTAGTTTCCTGCCGCTAGGGGGCAGTATAAACATACATTTCAGGGTAGTTGTGACTCGCTGGTTTAAAAACACATTACGATAAACTGCCGGTGGAGCAGGAAACATGCAAGCTTGGCATGACTCCTCAGACCTTGATGGTGCGTCAGGTAATTCCATCTAGTGAACGCTGAGAAGTTTTCTGGTGCTTTACTTCTGCATGTTCAGGGTCCTGCTCCTGCCGACGACATACTACTACGGCAATACCTCTCGGCCCAAAAATATTGCATCTCTTTTTCGATTCTGTTCTTTCACACATTTTAGAAATAATTCATCGTTTGTTTTTTTATTATGTTTGTGTTTCTTACTGCTTACATGTTTTTGAACGTGGTAACGGATTTTCCGTAAGCCTTATGTTCAGCCAATCATCTAGTGTGATGTCATCGACAGACGCAGGACCCGGAGCCAGCAGAAGTAAACATGGCACCGCCCAAAGGTGCTAGACCTGTGCCCTGTGTACTTTAGACCCAATTGTTATGGTTATATCAGGGTATCTGCAGGTTTAAGAGAGCCAAATTTAAGCTATTTTTTAAAATTAAATTTAAGCTATAATTTCCAGCTATTGCCTGGAACCGGTGCGAACCACGTTGCGAACGTGGGATTAGCCATCCAGTTACCATAAAAGTTGCACGTCCCCATGGTGCAATCTCCCACTAGCTTAAACAGCTAATGTGCTCATCTAAAAAAGCCCCCTTTCACAACCAACTGAATGTGTATGGTTCCGCTTACGCCAACATCGTACACAAAAAATGCTGAACACTAACTAGAAATTCATGAAAATTGAAATAAAATAATCTTGTTTATTGGGTCTTTGGTAATTTAAGACCTTTGGAAACTGTATTTAAGGATTATTAGTAATTTTTAAGGATTTTTAAGGCCTTAAATTTGGAAAAGCAAATTTAAGACTTTTTAAGGACCCGCGGATACCCTGTTATATGGTACAAAGACACCAATATTATCAATCATTTTATGCATTTTTATGGGGTGACGGTGTCACAGGACTTAAGTGCTCGCCCCGTAATCAGAAGGCTGCAGGTTCAAGCCCCACTCAGGCCCTGTCCACACGTAGCCGGGGATCTGCCAAAACGTAGATATTTTTCTACGTTTTGGCCTGTCGTCCACACGAAAACGGAGTTTTTTCACACGAAAACGGATCTTTTTAAAAACTCCGGCCAAAGTGAAGATCTGCGTTTTCTCCGTTTTGGGTGTCTGCGTGTGGACAGACAAAACCGGAGTTTTAAGGTCCGCAACGTCACTTTCTGCGACAAAAAAATGCTGACATCACGTGTGCGACCTGTGTTTACACTAGCCGACAGCATGGATGCCTTCAGAGCTGCGCTCTGTCACTACCCGATCCATCAATTGTCCAAGCGCTTTCTGCTTGTTTGTTTTTGCAAGCGGAATTACTGCTCCTTGCGGAAGACCACAGACGAAGGACGAGGTTAAGAATGGGGGAAGTACTGCCGCCTACAGGTCTGGCATGTCCATAACAACGTATTTATCCGGGTACGTGTGGACAGAGTCTGTTTTTAAAACGCGGTGGTGTGGATGCAAGTTTTTGGAGGGGCGGATATTCGTTTTTAAAAAACCCGGCTACGTGTGGACTAGGCCTCAGTCTGTCGCTGTGTCCTTGGGCAAGACACCTGACCCACCTTGCCTGCTGGTGGTGATCAGAGGAACCGGTGGCGACGGTGTACGTCAGAGTCGCCTCTGTCATTGTGCCCCAGGGCAGTTGTGGCTACAACGAAGCTCATCACCAGGGTGTGAATGGGTGAATGACTGATTGTGTTGTAAAGCCCCTTGGGGGGGCGCTATATCTACTTTTACCCCATTACAAATTGTCTCTTCAAATTCACGATGCAAATGCTGACACACACAACCGGATTAGCCTCTGCCACGCAGCCGGGCTGCTGCTGGGACCATTAGTGGGTGGCGTCACCAGTGTGAGCAACGCTCAGTGAGTCACCGTGGGTGAAGCCTGTAGATCATCTAGGCTTCTAATCTTTGTTTTCTCCAGGGCATTTAAAACCATCCATGCTAAGTTATCATGTCAGAAGACACAGGTGGACACCTGGATTACTGACACCCTGACTGACGCACCTCAGAGTGTGAGACTGAACGTTACAGTAACAGCGGACTGCCTTCGTGTATTCACCTGTACTTTTGCTATCATTTACTTCTTCTTCCTTTTCTCCAAGTGAATTCTCCAACTGTGGGATTAATTAGGTCGATTCTATTCTATGTCCTGGTCCTGTCATTCAGAGTGTCTCAGACATGGACAAGAGACAGAGGACAGAGACGATGTGGGTGAATCTGTGGAAGGGTGAGGCATCTGATCTTAGATGTTAACAGAACAAAGATGATTGTGGATCTTAGGAGAAGAAGGAACACGCAAGACTCGCTCCATCTGACACAGCACCAAGACCGCCCCTTTAACGGTTTTGCGTTACAGTCTTTCAGCTAGATGTGTGCGATGCCGTCGTCGTACTTTTACTAGAACGTCAGCTTTTGACACAGTCCCAACATATTTTTGGACCGGTAACAACTAACCCTAACCCGGCCCTTCAATGGCTGCAGTCCTACTTTGACGTTAAGTGGTGTCTGGATAGGGAAGACCACCTCTGCCTGGGAGAGACTCTGATGATGGGTTCCACAGGGCTCCATGCTGGGCCCCCTCTTTTTGCAGTCTATTTGCTGCCAGTGAGGGGCTCCCTGTCAGCATAATGCGATGGTTCCAGATCTACCCACCTCTCCGTCTGGGGACAGGTGGCTCCGTCTCTCCACTCTAGACTCTTAGGAGGAAGTTAAGTTATGGATGGCCTACAGTTATTTGCATTTGAATATGAACAGAACGGAGGTAATGATTCTGACCACCAATAGAGCCTTCAGGTTGACCTTGCTTCTCTGTCCTCACACGATAGGAAGGTAGTCACGAACTTAAAATTTGATGCTTCTACCAGATGCTGGTCTGAGCCTGGGTGCGGTGGCACGGCTCCAGGTGGCCCAGAACTGGACACTCTGGTTCTTGACAGGTACAAGGAAGAGGGATCATATCGCTCCCGTGTTGGCTTTGCTTCACTGGTTCTCGGTTGTGTACCTGGCTAAACTTAAGGTCCTGCTCCATGTCTATAGGGCCCTGCAGGGCGGTGCACCCCGTACCTCACTGCTTTGCTGCACATGGGTTACCTGAACTGAATTTATACACCACCCCCCTCACCCTCAGATAAATGGATGGAAACAAGATGGAAATTATATCGGTTGTTAATATCGGCCCAGTTTTGTTTATCGGACTGACACCTATTGATGCGGATATATTGTGCACCCCTAATTTAAGTGGCATCTTCCTAAAGGGTCCCCTCCTGTTGATGGCATCATAGACAGGTCACTGCCACAGCCCTGCTGTCCTCTAGGGGGCGTCTCCTTTCCGCTATTTTAATACACAGTTTTTCTTTAGTTGTGTGAATGCTCGTTAGTTTCAGTTAGTTTGCTTTTTTTGTAAAATCTCCTTTATATTTTCAATTCAGTTCATCAAAATGTTTTACCTTCTAGTCTACGTTAACAATACCAGCCTTGATAAGCTCCTCCCACATTAGCGTCTCATACCTGTGGATGTAGAGTTCTCTGTTGTTGGGCAGATCATAGTTGATGATGAGGGACACCTGTGGGACATCCAGACCTCGAGCCCAGACATCGGTGGAGATGAGGACACGACTGTAGGAGAGAGATTTGGTAGAACGTATGTGATGCTGTGGTTTTGAGTGCGTGTCCACCATGTCCGCTGAGAATCTAATACCTTGCTCCAGATCTGAACTCCTTCATGATGGACTCTCGTTCTTTCTGCGGCATGTCTCCGTGCATGGAGGACACAGTGAAGTTGGCCTCCCTCATCTTTTCTGTCAGCCAGTCCACCTGAAACCACACCCACAGGTTGGAGGTTAAACTATTTCTCTGCCTTTGGTTCAGCAGGGCTCGGATCAGCTGATCCTCGGGTCTGGCCGCCGCGCGCACCGGCAGCACGAAGAGAGAGCGGCGCTGCAGACTTTAATCATCAACAGGAAAAAACAGCTTCAACTGTGCAGGAAAAGTTGTTTAAACCAGAGGCCGACTGGTATATCAAATCAAATCAACTTTATTTATAAAGCGCTTTCACACGCCCAAAACGGACAAACAAAGCGCTGTACACCAATAAGAATCACAACAATAAAACAGACATATAACCATTTAAAATACAATAAGAAATCCCGAGTACAAGTTCACAATCCATATCAGTCCTTTCCCAGAATCAGATCCAGACACATTCAAAGTGATGCTGCCCACCCAATCCCAACTTCAGTGTCCAAACGCTAGGGCTGTAGCGAAGCCTAGATGACGTTGACGGCTCGATTCTAAAAATTTGTCGACGTCAGATCCGGAAGTCGACGCACCGCGCCCACTTGTTGCATCCCCAGGAGTTTGTAAATAGAGGAGGAATCTGTCTGTTTTTCCTCTAGTTCGCCCTCTTCTCCGCCTTCACTAACATCTCCGCCAAATACCGAAGACCCGGAACAACGTCCGTCCACTACTAGATTCCTTTCCTGTTTTGCCCGCCTTCGTCTCCCGGCATCGGACAACAACTTCCGGGGTCAGATGTGCTGCTCGGTCTCTACCGCAGATGTAGGACATCACCGGGAGCGTTTCTCCCTTCATTAAGGAGCTTCTTTCAGACATGAGGAGAGCTGTTTTGGTGGTAGCAGTCTCTCCTCCGTGCTGGTCTGTTTGCTGCTGGGTGTTTTTGGTTTGTTTAAACTTGGTAACTTGAACTTAACGTTGGTAAAGCTACTGTTAGCATTTTCGCTAACAGCTTCTTGCGTTTGGATAAGCCGTTACGTTTTGGTTTAGAGTTCATCTTTTTGTGGCGTAGATCTCCCTTTTATTACATTTAGAGTGTTGTGGGTTTTCGGTTTAGTGTAAAATATCACCTGAGTGTGGTTTAACCCGTAAGACCACTCGCCTCACGCACATAAGTGGCCAAAACAAAGCAGCGTGGAGACGCTCCGTCTCCAACCACCTCTCAGGCAGCAGCCTGCACTCCCAAGTTCTACACGTCACCAGAACCTAACCAACCAACACAATAAAAGCAGTGTTATACAAAATGGAAGGCCTGTAGTGTTTATTCTCTTACAGTAAGAATTTATCAATTTTTTGAGGAATTTATTTGAGATTTTCTGGTTTTTGTTAATTGTGCAATAGAAAAATAATCATTAGATTAATTTTCTAAATAGTCATTAGAATAGTCGACTATTCGATAAAATAATCGTCAGAATAATTGTTTTAAAAATAATCGTTTACCCCCAGCCCTACCAAACGCCAACGAGAACAGATGCGTTTGTAGTCGGCTTTTAAAGGTCTCCAGTGATTTGGCCTGCTTTACGTCGGCTGGCAGCTCGTTCCAGAGACTTGGTCCGAGCGCTGAAAAGGCACGACTCCCACGAGACTTCAGGCTGTACCTGGGCACGGTTAATAGTCTCTGGTCAGCTGACCTAGGGGAACGCACCGGGACATGTCGGTGGATGACGTCACAAAGGTGTTTAGGTGCCCCTGAGTTTAACGCCTTAAACACAAACAGGAAGACCTTAAACCTGATGCGATAGGAGACAGGGAGCCGATGCAAGGCACGTGGGACTGGTGTAATATGTTCAGACCTCCTGGTAGATGTTAACAACCGAGCAGCCGAGTTCTGAGCCGCCTGGAGGCGTGCTATTGGCGCTTGCCTAAGCCCCGCATATAGCGAGTTGTGATAATCCAGCCTGCAGGTACCAAAGGCACGGATCACAGTCGGGCAGATAAATAACAGTTTTTCTATATCGGCCACTGGTCAAAATTATTTTTAAAAGCCGATAAAAAATAATAATCTGGCACCTGTGTGGCCAGCTGCTGCCGCTACTAGACCGAAGAAAGGACCCGAAGAACCCCAACACAGTTTTTTTTAATGTTTTGATTTTGTTTTACATTTGAAGAGATTTATTGACTTATTTAATTTATTTTGCACACAGTGAGTGTTTGGTTGTCTTTCACAATCAACGTGTAGGAGCCATTTGTGTTGTTTTCATTTTCTTTCTGCATACCTGAGAGGAGGCTTGGCCTCATTTGATTGGTCGATTGATTGTGGAAGCACCAGCCTACTTGAGCCAACACAGATGAGACTCAGGTGTTGCTGTGATGGGACAAACAGTGTTTTACTGTGTGGCGAGGACTGTGGCTGTGTGTAACGGGCTCTGCGGACTGTCACTGGAGCAAGTAACGCATTCATTTGAAACCCTTCAACTGCTGTGAACGGATCATGGACATTTTGGAACAAGAAGACAAATAATAAACATCATCAGAAATAAACACAAGCTGCAATTCTTTTAAACACACGTAAAGACCACCACCCGCAGCAGTAACCAGTAGTGCCGGTGTATGGGGCATTGGTATTACACAATGTGCTGCTAAAAGGTATATTTGTATCGGTCTTAATAATTAGATTTAGATATCGGCCACCGGCAACGAAATCCTTTAAAAATCGGTATCGGCCTTAAAAAGCCCATATCGGTCAGCCTCTAGTTGAAACTAAATCACAGGATTGGCAGAAGGTTTGGAAGTCTGTGTTCATCATGTGTTAATAAACGAACGGCATTTAAAGGAGACATAACATGAAAAACTCACTTTTATCCATTAACACGGTGTGTTTCACATTTTAAGTGTCTAAGTGAGCAAAAAGGCTTATATTATTCACTAGAGTTGCTATTTAGATATTTAATAATTAAATTTTGGGCATATTTGTCCACCCGTTCAGTTTTTCAAATTACCTATTACGTCAGAAAATTATGCCGTCATGATAACTACCAAATATGGTCATGGCCCTCAGCTAAACACAGAGCCAATCCGCCATTTTTTCTTCTCGCCAAGATTTTTGTAGTCCTATTGGAAAAATGCAGAATGTCTGGTTATTTTGGCCACACAGCTCAGAACTGTTCCTCGTTTTAAGGAAGGGTGGTGGGGCAGCACTTAAAACCCAGAAGCTGATGACACTACTGCAAAAAAATAAAATAAAATAAATAAATACATAAAAACAGAAGAAAAAAGTAGTGTGTGTGTGTGTGCACGCGCCTGCTCGCTTGTCCCTCAGTCGGCTGTGACGGGTGTGTGTGTGTGTGTGTGTGTGTGTGTGAGACTACAGACAAATGCATGAGAGAGTTAGCAGCCTTGAAACAGCCTGATGAACAACTCTCCCCACATGTTTTAAAAATGCTAATATAATGTTTCTGCTATGCTAAATAATGATTTCTCTATAGAACTACAAAGTCCAACTGGGGGAGGAGAGTACAGGTCTGCACTGTGGAGGGGGGGCGGAGTTTACAGCTCCTTCTCCAGATTTAAAGAGACAGTACCCAAAAACGGCTCGTTCTCAAGACTCTCCTCAGAACGGGTAGATGAGGGTCTGTGGAGCAACGATGAGGAAATCAGACCAAAGTACTGCAGCTCGACTGTATTTAGACCCCAACTGAAGGATTTAGATGTAAAAAGGAATAACTTAAAAGCATGTTATGTCTCCTTTAAAGAAATTAGCGTTAAGAGCTGTCAATGCGATAAGACTTTATTGTCAACAAGAATATTTTATTGAAGAGGTTTTCTGTTCAACATCAGACTCCTTAAAAACCCAAAGCTTACTACAGCTGCGTATTCACGAAGCATAACACATCCCAGCCTGGTGTTTTTAACCAGGGCACAGCCAACATGGGATGATGCATCATCTGGGAAATTAAATATGAATAATTCCACATCCCCCCGTAACGCGCTCGCGTACCACTAGGGGTACGTTTACCCCTGGTCGGGAATAACTGGACTAGCGCAACAGCAAAACCAGATCAGATCATCGGACAAGGACCTGTGTGGGTTCTGACCTTTCTCTTGGTGTTACAGAAGATGACGGCCTGAGTGATGGTCAGCGTGTCGTAGAGGTCACACAGAGTATCAAACTTCCATTCCTCCCTCTCCACGGCAACAAAGAACTGCTTGATGCCCTCCAGGGTCAGCTCATCACTGGGGGAAGGACAGCGGACTTTACCAACGTCGGCTCCATTCTGAACCAACTCCTGGACCCGACGAGTTTCTTGACTCACCGTTTGACCAGAATGCGGATCGGGTCAGTCATGAACTTGTTGGTCATCTCCAGAATCTCGTGCGGCAGCGTGGCGCTGATCAGGACCACCTGTGTGGCCGGGGGCAGGTACCGGTACACGTCGTAAATCTGCTCCTTGAAGCCTGAAAGGCACAAACGGACACGTGCTGAGGGACTCCTGGCGACCAGCACCAGGTGGTTCCAAGTCCATCCAGGCGGTCCACCTGCTCAGCCTCACCTTTGTTCAGCATCTCATCTGCTTCATCCAGAACCAGCATCTTGATGGCCCGGGTTCTCAGACTCCGGCGCCGAATCATATCTGCGAAGAGACAAGCGGTCAGATATCAACTCTGACATCATCGACCAATCAGCCAGGAGCAATTCAGCAAAACAGATCACATGGTCATGACGCAATGAGGTGCCCAGTTCTGACTGGACCGGGTCTAAATGAACTTCTGATAGGGATACACCGATGGATCGGCATTTGATCGTAATCGGCCGATAGCGCCCCTATCGGTTTTGATCGGAATTTTCAAAATAGATCAAAGCAATCCGATCAGGTAGAGTTGTCACGGTAACCAGTGTAGCGGTAAACCCCGGTAAAAAAAAAAAGTTGACAATAATAATAACAGTCTTGTTTTTAAAAAAAACTATTATTATCTCAATGGGTTTACCGTGGCTGCGGTGTAGGCGCGGTGACCCTTACCAGCCACCGTATCATCGGCTGAAGTTGCCGGCGGCACAGACGCACGCTTTGTTTACAAAGAAACTTTCTTGAAGCTAAAGCTGAAATAATGGTCAAAGGAGGAGACGGCAGCGCTCAGGAGGACATTTATTATCCTTCAAAGAAGACAAAGTCGGAAGTACGGGCATATTTTAGATATTTGAAGAATGCCGAGGGAGTTTATGGAAGACGGCTATCCTGTTTGCAGCACGTGCAGAAAAAGTGTCTGTGAAAGGCAGCAACGCTTCAAATCTCATGACACATCTGCGTGACCATCACCCACAACTCTACAGTCAACGCAAGGCAAGCTAACGTTAGCGCTTTAGCTCAAATGCGTGATCCGAGGATTTGGGTTGAGGGAGAATGCAACGAGTCGCTATATAAAGCAGCCGCAGCGCCGCTACCTGCATATAAACCGTGTCGCGGACACCGCCATGTTGAAATGACGCTATGCATTACGGGGCTCCCAGGGGCAGATAAGAGTTGGTCTCTCTCCGAGAATAATTATGAATTTAACAACGATTACTGCCTGATGACATTTTCCCACATCTGCAAAGCTCACTGGAAGGACACAAACCGAGGACGATATTTTCCTGATATAGGGTTTATTACTCAAGTAAGGGTAAAAAAGTATCTGATTAGAAGTCTACTTGAGTACTGAGTATCATCTGAACTAAAATTTTTAAATGATGACATCAAACAGACATAAAATAAGAAGTTATGGGCAAATATTGGTATTTTAAAGACTAAAGGGGAAAAATGTAAACAAATAAACAACATAATTACAAAATAACACATTTTAGGCTAAATTTAGACACAAACTGAGGACAATATTTCCTGACATACAGGGTTTATTTAATTGTGTGAAAATGTAGCACGTTTAAAAAAATATACCGCGATAATACCGAAAACCGTGATAATTTTGGTCACAATAACCGTGAGGTTAAATTTTCACACCGTGACAACCCTAATACAGACCATTTTAGATTAGGTTGCATTTCCTTTATTCCCAGATTATGTAGTTTGTAGTAGGGCTGCAACAAACGATTATTTGGATAATCGATTAATCGGATGGGGTCTCGACACGATTAATCGATTAATCGGATTACATGGGGAAATTTTTAAAAACTGCTAGGGAAACGTTATTTCTCTCCTTCCTTCACTTTATTTAACACAACATTATTAGAAAACAGTTCAATAGCAGAAAAACAACATGCCATCACCTAAATTGTCTTATAAGGTGTATAGACAGAGACCCTAAGCTACATCTATCTGTGACCTAAAATGCTTGGTCCAAGTTAAACAGCTTAAGGGCAATTCTCATCTGTTTTGTTTGATCTCATCTGTTGACATTTATTTTAAATGTAATTAAACATAGGCTGTGAATTTATCAAAATTGATCACTATTTCCAAAAATGACTGAAAAAATACCAAATAAAACAAAAGTAAATGAATGCCATCCTCCTTGCGATGATGCCCTGGGCAACTGCCATAAAGTCACATCAAGAAATGCTGCTGATCATTCCAATGATCCCAAATAGACTCACATTAGGCCACATGAAAGCAACTGAACCCAAAAATATATTAACCAGTATATAACTGCACTCTCACACAACACGCCTGCAGCAACAGTTAGGACTCCTCCCTCCCTTTTAAAAGCGTTTTTGCTTCTGAGGACATTGTGGTTGTAAAACCACATGCTAGTAGTCTGGCCCCGGTGTGATCAACCAGTTTCTGCGGGAATGTGACGGCGGAACCAGGGCCAGATTAACACTTTGTTGTACCCTGGGCAACAATATTCAAGGGCTCCATCATCACGACCCAAGGATCACCATAATGTGGTCACATACAGAATATTTTACTGTAATATGCAGTAAATATACTCAATACTTGAATGCCTGACAACACGTAACCCGCCCAGAGTAACCTTTGACCCACATCGTGTGGACTGACCAATGAGGAGAGGGTCTTAACTTGAGGCCCTCTCTTCATTGGTCAGTCTGCATGAGACTGACTCTCAACTGACGTTCAGTCGTAGGCAGCGAAGCGTCTCTGTGCAGTGCAAAAGCCCGGGTGGACAGTTTGTTTAATGTAGGGTGTAGGCCTGCTCGATTATGGCAAAAATAATAATCACGATTATGGTGACTGAAATTGAGATCACGATTATTTAGGACGATTTTTCAATTTATGTTGATTTTAATTGTTTTTATTCAGTCATAAAATAGCTCAGGGCACAATCTGGACCAAATTAAATAAGAAACAAGATGATCACTAAAAGAACTCCTGATTCCCAGTATAAAAAGACCAATATACTTATAGCTCATAGTCTATGACCCAAGGGCTATAGACCTTGGTTTAACTCATTTAAGTCTAACCAGTACAGACCCAAATACCAATATCTTGCAAATACTGACAGCAAGAATTATACAGTGGCATTTATAACAAATAAATGCAAATAAATTGATGTTCACAAAATGTTGCATAACATTTATTGAGTCATGTCAAGGTGCTGTAGGAGCGTGCACTAGCACCGTGTCCTCAGAGAGATTAGTTATTATTTATCAGCGTGAGGAACTTATTTCTACCTTATTTATAAACTATTTATTTACAAGTCCATCAGTTAATGTAATAATTGTCCCAACCACAGCTGCGCCCCCACCCCTCAACCCGGTCTCACAGCAATCAGGGGCACGCTGCACGTGTGTTTAGCACGCTGCACGCGCTCATTTAGCCGTTTTTAGCTGCTCAGGAGTCCGCAGGTGTGGTGTGTGTGTCACTCACTCTGGTTAATCCAACATGGAGCCGGCTCTGAGAGCCGTTTCTTTAGCGACTGACACATCACTACATCATTCCCTTTCCTAATGTCCTGAAGAACGGTCCGGAGCGCAGGCGGAGTGTTTAGCTAACCTGCAGGAAACGTCGACGACAGTTATCCAGAAAGTAGCTAAGGGTTACCAGAGATGTTTCTGAGGTGTTCGCTAGGTACTTTTAAGATTTAAAAAGTCAAGAAGGGGGTCTGAAAAGCTGCTAGAAATAGCGTCAAAGTCACTAAGTTGGCAACACTGTGGGAGGAGCGCTTCATTTGCAACTCAGGGCAGCGCAAGCGGGAGGAGCAAATAATCGGCTTGTTTTGTTTTTTATAATCGTTTAAAACTCAGATCGTAATCGTGATTAAAATTCGATTAATTGAGCAGCCCTAGTAGGGTGACCATATTTCCATTTCCAAACAAGAGGACAGGGGATCTGTGCCTATGACGTCACACTATGGCAACGCCACACAAACCATGTTGGGACCCATTTTTTGTAAGAACTAAATTAATATCAGATTCTGCCAATTAAAGGGCTCTAAAACAATTCATATGTAAATATTTTGCATATTTAATGCAAAATCTAATTTTTCTGCTTTAGTGCTGCAACAAGGTTTTATTAATAATAAATTTTTATACCTTTTGTTTTACTACAGCATCGGTAAGCTTCCTGTGCACAGATTATTAAGGATGCTTGTTTCAACTGTGAGATTAGACGATAGGATCAATGAAAAAATAAGTTGTCACAAACTCCATGGAAACTTTCAGAGAATCCACAAATAGTGGCTTTCACATGGTTTTGTTACTTTTTGCAAGTTTATAAAATAAGCAGATGAGACAGCATGTCTGATAATTTAGTTTTTCATCTGATAATATTAGAACATGTCAGTAATGTCTGAGGAGCTTTTATAAACACCGTATAACTAACACTACTGGAGAGGGCATGAATTACACAGAGGCTTCTGGGGAGCCCAGTTATTGGGGGGGGGGGCATTTTGCCTTGGCCCCCAAAATGTCTTGAAACGGCCCTGGGTGTGTGACTGAGTGTTGAAGGTGATCTGAATTGTATCAGATGTATAAATACGACATGTGTATAACTTATTGTTTTTTACTGGTAAAAACGTGTAGTGGAGATAAATCTACCTACATTTGACTTTTCAACACTTTGTTTTGTTTTCTTGTTTTTATTTAACTATTTTCCTGTCCTGTCTGTCTCTCATCTTCCTGCATCTCCTCATAGTTCTCCAGAAAATCTGTTGCCTGGATTCTTACCTTTTCACCTCATCAGTTACTTTTGAGCAGGTCAAAGGGATCTCCTGACCGAAAAGCGCAGAGCGCGTTTTCGATGCTGCATGAGGTGACATCACCGCAGCACAGGTGATGAGCTCCGCAGTAGCGAGCTTCAGGCACAAATAAGACAGAAAATAGAGAACATGTGCGGACATGAACGATCGTGTGCTAATTATAGTTTTTTGGTTGCGCCACTTTGAGAATGGACCGTGCGCTGGAAGCAGCAGCCTGGATGGCTGCGCAACAATGCGGAACCGGTTCGCAGCAGCTCAAGTCTGCCGGCTCTCCCTCGCGCTGATCTGCGGCTCTCCCTCGCGCTGATCTGCCGGCTCTTCCTCGCGCTGATCTGCGGCTCTCCCTCGCGCTGATCTGCGGCTCTCCCTCGCGCTGATCTGCGGCTCTCCCTCGCGCTGATCTGCGGCTCTCCCTCGCGCTGATCTGACTTGCTCTGGTCTGCGCGCAACGGCGGGCGGGAAGGGGGGGCGCTTTTGGAAGAGTTGTGCGACACAACGAATCGATGACGCAATTCGTTGCCAACGCTTTTAGTAATCGATTTTCATCGAATTTATCGATTCGTTGTTGCAGCCCTAGTTTGTAGCACTCATTATAATGTTGTAGAAAATTTCTGGCCAATCCACGTGATCGGTATCGGTGATCGGTATCGGTGATCGGCAGCAAAAAACCTGATCGGTGCATCCCTAACTTCTGACACTATGTGACAAAACAGCCCATAATGCACTGGGCCAAGCTAAAGGGGCAAGCTATAGGCTTGGGCTATCTCCTGGACTCACATTACAGCTCTCACAACTCAGGTCCAGAACCAGAACAGAAGAGAGGGGGGTCAATAACTTCCAGGTTCTGGATCTGGTCTGACTTATTCTGCCGTGATGCAAGTTGGATTCGTATACTTGCACCAACACCACGAGTCAGTTCATAACTGAGCACCTATCACAACAGCACCATGGGAACCGAACAGGTCCGACAAGTTCCAACAGGTAGATTTACGATGACGTCACAGGTGATGTCTTTATGATGCAGATGGAGGAGGACTCACCAAACACACGGCCAGGAGTGCCGGCCACCACGTGCTGACCATAGTCCAGCTTACGGATGTCCTCTCCCACATTCGTCCCTCCGATGCAGGCGTGACACTGGACGTTCATGTAGTCTCCCAGAGCCAGCAGCACCTGGACAGAAGACGAGCAACCAATCAGAAACAGCCACGCATCACCAGAACAAGGGCAGGTGTGACGGAGGGACAGGATTACCTTCTGAATCTGCCCAGCCAACTCTCGAGTTGGAGCAAGAATCAGAGCCTGGGTCTCCCTCACCTGTGACAAGAAACGCATCACAGCATGATGTCATCAGTTTCAGCCGAGAACAGTTGAGTTTAAAACAAATAAAAACATTTTTATAGACAAGATCACGGGTAGATGAGTAGGTCTAACCCCAACCCTGGGGTCGAGCAACCTGCAACACCCCCGATTACTGGGTGGTGGGTGTTCAGGTTCGTGACCGCAGCTCTGGCTGCTGCTGAACACCCACCTGGATGTCTAGACACTGCAGCACAGAGATACAGAAGGTGGCCGTCTTTCCAGTTCCAGACTGAGATCTGTGAGGAGCAGAGACCAGCAGTTAGACCCCATCAGGACCTGGTCAGTGGTGAGACCAGACATGGACTACTTACTGAGCGATGACGTCTCGCCCTTTGATGATCTGTTTGATGGCTCTCTGCTGGATGGCTGACGGCTTCTCAAAGCCTGAAACAGAACGAAGACTTGGAATCAGTCAGGAGGTCCACCAGATCTGTCGACTCCACGCATCTCCATCGTGCTTCTGCTCGGGTCCATCAGTGAGATTTACTTTCTATGCAGCAGCTGTTTTAACTCAAAAATGACCAGATCGTTGGGTTCAGCTGTGGTTGAATCGGAGTTTGCTGAAGCCTCAGTTACAGCAGCAGCAGGGAAGCAATTAAAATATTTACACCAGGCAGGGATGCACGATATATCAGCATCAGTATCGGCTGATGTTAGTAACTTTTTATCATTTCGATGTCGGTCTGATAAGTTAAACTGGGCCGACTTAAAAAAAAAAAAGTCCAAGTCCCTACTTTAAGTATCAGTCTGAGAGGGTGAGGTGGTTGAGATGGATTATCGGCCATAATAGAAACATTTATATCCGATATTGGCCCAAAGTTTCATACGGTGCATCCCTAATTTGTACAATGCAATTTAATACTCGACTTTCACATAAAGACAATAAAAACTAATCCAGAAGGTTTATTTTCTCAGAACTGTTCACAGACCAACAATATATATGAACGTTTAGAATAGATTAATGACTTTTTTTAAAGCTAAAATGTTTTGGAAAGGCTAAAAACCTCCATCACGCAGTTGGATAAAGCCCCGGGGCTTCTTCACTCCTAAATCCGCCGATGGTCCGGGTCCGGGTCCAGATCAGACCGGTATGACCCTAACTACCAACAAATGGTTAAATAAGCAGAAACTAACATAAAAATGTCCCTAAACAATCGTTTTAATCCAAACCACTTCTCGACACCGAACAACGGGCGGCTCGAGCTTCCCTCTGGAGGCCGTACGATCCCCGGCCTACCGTAAGCGTAAATCCCGCGAAGCAGATCCTCCCGGAGCCCCATCGTGTCGAACGTAGGAGTGACGTCCACCTCCTCACTGGTCTCGAACTCCACCTTGGTCATGTCCTCCTCTTTCAGGAGCCTCTTCCTGCCCTGTGTCCCGGCAGAAGCCATCTTCCTAGCGCCTTTTTGTTCGGTCAAAACCTCCCGACTCCGGTATCAACAGTTCACTGCGCGGCGTTGCTAACTGCTAATAGCCAATAGCCACACGCGCGTGTCGCCCTGGTGGTGACGTATTCAACAGGCGACGCGCTGTGCGTCTCCCGCTGTAAAAGCGCGTCATAATAATATTTATGGACTTTTATTTACAGCTGAGGTTTTGGTGTAGGGTTAAAATAATCCAGAGATTTTTAAACCAGGCTGCAGTTTGTTCTGGAAATGAATTCTGGAATCACAAGAAATTAAAAAAAAAACTTTTTTACAAGTAGTTTATTTTTTAAGCCCCTAAAAAATTACTAAGTTCTCCACAGATTTAAAACAATTAAAAGACAAAGATAAATAACATTAAAAACAAGAGATCTTAAAACAAATGCAAGTTCATTAAAACAAAAAAGAAAAACTAAAGGTTTAATCAAAAGCTATTTTAAATTAGTCTTTAGCTGCTTTTTAAAGGTGTCCAGACTGTTAACACAAGATTTAGGAAGTTCATTTATTCCAAAGTCGAGGGTACAACATCCTGGAAAAAGGCATCACTTGGACCTGGTTTTTGAAACTTCTAGAAGGTTCTGGTTTGTAGACCTGAGGGCTCGGTTGGAGCACATGGCCTTACCGGTTCAGTAATATAGGGAGAAGCTTGACCATAGAGCCCTGAAGGTTACGGTCAGGATTATAAAAGGAATTCTAAAGCTAACCAGTGCCGACATCAGAATAGGAGTGATTTCAGAAATGATAAAAACAGTTTAGACACATAGCTATTTTTTAAAGAAAACTGTGGGAAAAAAAATCTGAGATCTGGTCTGGAGCCTCATTCCTCTCAAAACACACATTACCAGACAAAGCCTCAGAACCAGGAATAACCAAACTCCCTCTGATCCAGTCCTTACCAGAACTAGACCGGTTTATGTAGAGGCTAACTCTTGACAAGCATTCATTGAACTTTGTGGAAAAAAATCATTTTATTAGTTTTTTTTTTTACCAAACAGCAGAGATAAGTGATTTGGAAATCCCTTCCAGTCAGTCATATAACCTTAATAACAGCTAGCACCTTCTCTAAAAACCATCTGCACTCTAACAGGCGTTATTAACATGAAGCCATCAAAGAAATCCAGTTTAAACACAAAACTCTTTATTTAAAGGTGGTTCAATGTTTCAGTCCAACAAAAATGTGACGTAGTTCCAACAGGTGCTCGAGTCATTTGTTGTCAGGCTCAGGAAACTCCAGAGGGTTCATGTTTAGCATCAAATCTACAGTCAAACCCCCTTTAGAGGGTGCACACTTGTTTATCAGACCGCTTGATCCTCACTAGGGTTTTAGGTTATGTCAGGCAAGAAGCTAGGGACACCTGGACAGGTCTCGAGTCCATCACAGGGACACACAGAGACAACCAGTCATACCTAGGGTTAACCTATAACATGCATGTTTACAGCCTGTGGTCAGGAAACCTGTGTACAGACTACCGAGTACTGTTCAGAGTTTCTGCGATGGTATTTAATCCCAAACCTGTTACCCACTCCAGATCCAGCAGGAAGTATTCCTGAAGGCTTTACAGGGATAGGTCTGGAGTGATGTCTTCAAGAGAGTCAGGAATACACACAGATGTCACAGATGTGAGGACTCCATCCTGATTGGTGCCTCATCCATCAGCTGGTGGAGTTAGCGTGTCCCAGGACTGTCGTCAGGTCTGTGAAACCCTGCCCACACCAGCAAATGCAGCAGAACATTCATTTGGACCATGAGACTGGGATCCGTGTAGAGTCCGACGAACAGGATGAGTTTTAATCTGAAGATGACTTCCTGTCAGTTATCCGTGATTGAAGACACCCCCCCCCCCCCCCACACACACACACACACACACACACGTGAATGCTGAGCATCACATCTGTCTAGCGATCTAGTTTCAGTTTCTTGTTAACGGAGTGTCCTTAAAGGCAGCATCAGCGGTCTGTAAACGGGGTCTAGTTAGAGTCCCGTCTCACAGTCCAGCAGATCAGGCTGGAGGTCATCGCTGCAGAGCCTGAACAGGTGAGTTGTCTGGAAAGCTTCTGAACACCAAACACTGAAAACCTGGAAAGGTTTAAATCCTGACAAAACTAAAGACCTAAATCACAACACCGAGACTACAGCTGGCTCATCTCAGGGGCTTCAACTTTGAAAAACAGGTTCCCACTTCCTGTCTTCTCAGTCCCATCGAGGGGGCGGGGGCTCATGATTAGACCTGGTCCTCAGGTGAGTGACCTGACCACGTGGCGTCATAAAGAGCTGGAACCTTCTGCTGCCCATCAGCAACAAGGCTGGTGGGAAAGTCATGTGACCCTCAATCGTCCTTTGATTGGTGGACGTCAAGACTGACAACCTGCAGCTCCGCTAGGCTGCTGCTGTTGTTCTGTTGGCTGATGACCATCTAAAACAACAAATAAACAACAAAACAAACCATAAACAACAAATTCATTCAAAAGCTAAACAATAACAAAACAACAGATACCACAAAAATAACAAATAACAAATACAAACAACGAACAACAACAAAAGAAGACATACTACAGTAAACAACAAATAACACAACAACAATAAAAGAAACAATAACAACAGATAAATGTAAAGCTTAACAATAAAAAACTAAAACAATAATAAACATTGTGTGTGTGTGTGTGTGTGTGTGTGTGTGTGTGTGTGTGTGTGTGTGTGTGTGTGTGTGTGTGTGTGTGTGTGTTACCGGGTGCAGCTGCACGGCAGAGACTGGGATCTGAGCAGCGACAGGAGGCAGAGAGGTGAGGAAAACCTGCGGGATGACGGCTAAAACAGAACAACGGGCTTGCGTTAACTCCAACGTTCTGACGCGGACACATTTGTCTTTAACGTTTTCCGTTTCCTCATACCTGGGTCATGTGACTGGGCGTGGCCTGTAGAGGGAAAGGTGTTGAGGACGGTGAGGCTGCCGTCGGTCAGTGAGGACGATGGTGTGGCGTACATCACCGCGTGACCTCCAGGGTACATCATGTGACCTGTTACCGAGGAGGAGGAGGAACACGAGGAGACTATGGACACTGGAAGAGTCGCTGTAACAGAGACAGGGAGCTCTTAAGGGTTCTGTCACAATAAAAGCTCCTGACCACACCAAAATCCCAGGAGGCGGAGCCTCTTGTTGTGGCTCTCTCAGGTTGAACTGGTGAGTTCTCAGCTGCACCAGAACAAAATTTAGAGGCACACAATTTTCGCATCGTTTACTTTTGTTAACCACTGTTCAAATCAGTAATGTTGACTTTTTACAACAAACTTTACTATAAAAATAATTTTCCTTGCAAAAGAAATGAAATAGCTCACCAATAATCCTAATCTGCCACATCTGACAAACAGTTGAGTACGCTGGAAGCATCTAACAAAGATAAGTCCATCTTTGTTGAAGCCCCAGAAGCAACAGCTCATCCAACTGACCCTTAAAAATAATCCAAATTAAATCAACTGAACATAAAATTTGTTTATATGCAGATGACGCTTTACTACGTCTAGGCAGCGTAATTACTCAATTCTCAAATATATCTAATCACCTGATAATTTCATCTACACTTCCTTCACTTGGTGATCTAAAATGGGACAAGACACCTCAGACCATACTAGGGATGTAAGAAAATATTGACATGGTAATATATTGTGATATTTTATCCTGTGATTTTATATTCATATTCAAAATCCATGTAACAAATTTTTGGAAGAATTTACATGCAATTATTTGTGTATTTTCTTTTCTTTTGGTGCAATTCAAACGCAGACCGCTAGTTGGCGTCTGCGGTGATGCGGACGCTGAGCCGATCTGTCGTGGTGAAGAGGGAGCTGAGCCAGAAAGCCAGGCTCTCGATTTACCGGTCGATCTACGTCCCAATCCTCACCTATGGTCATGAGCTTTGGGTAATGACCGAAAGAACGAGATCGCGGATACAAGCGGCCGAAATGAGTTTCCTCCGTAGGGTGGCCGGGCTCAGCCTTAGAGATAGGGTGAGGAGCTCGGACATTCGGGAGGGACTCTGAGTAGAACCGCTGCTCCTCCGGATCGAAAGGAGTCAGTTGAGGTGGTTTGGGCATCTGGTCAGGATGCCTCCTGGACGCCTCCCTGGGGAGGTGTTTCGGGCATGTCCTGCCGGCAGGAGGCCCCCGGGTCGACCCAGGACACGTTGGAGAGGTTACATCTCCAATCTGGTCCGGGAACGCCTTGGGGTCCTGCCGGAGGAGCTGGTGGAGGTGGCCGGGGAGAGGACGGTCTGGAGCTCCCTAGTTGGGATGCTGCCCCCGCGACCCGGATAAGCGGAGGAAGACGACGACGACGACCGCTAGTTGGCAGCAGTGAGCAATGTGTTTTCTTTCCACCACTGAAAAGTAAATCCCTCTGTTATGGTTCAGATACCTCACGTTAAAAATGTTAAGTATCCGTTTGGACTAGGGCTGGGCAATAAATCGAAAATTTATCGTTATCGAAATTTTTGACTCTTATGATTATTTTTCCCATGTCAATAAATCTGATAATAAAGAAATGAAAAGATGTGTAGGTTGGCAACGTTCACATCCCTTTAAGAAGCTGCACCACCTAGAGTCACGTAAAAATGTGACTCCAGTAATACATGTGACAGCCCCATCTAGTGGACAACTTTTGTTTCTGTGCATACCCGTAGTTATCGCCCATTTATCGTTATCGAGGTGAAATCCTCGATACATCGTGATACTGATTTTAGGTCACATCGCCCAGCCCTAGTTTGGACTGTTTATTGAATATTCCTAAAAAATTCAGTCTAAAAAAATTGCTAATATCGTCTGACTGAAAGTATCGCAATATATCGTGATATGTTGTATCGTCTCCCCTATATCGTGATACTTATCGTATCACCAAAATTTCACCAATACACATCCCTAGACCATACCCATGCCTCTGTGCATGAACCCAACCTCTAAAGCGTTAAAAGAGCCATTTCATGGAAAATGCACATTTTGGAGCTTTCTACCATGAAATTGTCTCTTCCTCATGAGAAATACTCCAAACCTTTTCTTGCATTCATGAATTTTCCTGCCTCAGCTGCAATTTGGCCAATGTAAACATTTTTCCTGTAAACGGGAGAAACTTTCTCCCCCAGAAGCTGGTGATCTTGGTTCTGAAACCTAGATAATCTATGGATATTCGGACAGATTGCTCCTGCATTGAGGACAAAACACTGCTCTGGAAAACATGTGTCCTGTCTACAAAGACGTACGTAATGGCCAGCTCAGATTTGTGTCTTAGCTGAAACAGATTCAGTGGTCCAGAGGCTCTAGTGATGGGCTGGCATGTAGTTTTCCACAGGTTTTCCTCCCTTTCGCGGCAGTAACTTTTGGTTTAACCCATTATTGGTAAACTGTTTAAAAAGGGAGGACTAATCTTTATTATTTTTACTTTGTTTTGTTTATTTAACCAACGTGAGACCATGTGAGGTAATCAGAATATCAACTAAAACGCTGCTTGGAAATTACATTCAAAAATATTTAGACACTTTAGAAATTACTCCCAACACCGGGAGTCGAATCGGCGTCAGCACATGGCAAAACAAAAGGAAAGGTAGGTACTTATACCGTTGGAGTACCAAGGCCAATACAACAGCAGCCTTGCCTTTGTAGGTGGGTTTTGTCGGAGTGGAGGTGGGCGGAGCCACACTGAAACAGACCATTGGTTTTTAAGTATGAATTCTGGCTGATGAAAATAAAATTGTATTGAAGCTAAACGACTGCGAGATTTTACTTTAAAAGAAAAACACCATTTGAAGTCACAGAAAATGAAAGACATTGGACCTAGGAAATGGCGACTGGTGTTTAGCGCTTTCTCGTTTCCTCCAGCAACGCGGGTTTTCCGTTTTGGCAGAAGCACCTCAGGGAAGATTCCCGAGGGGAGGGGTGAGTGCTCCGTGATCATGCTTGTGCGCCTGGTGCGACTGCCAGCCTGGGAAGATGAAGATGACTCTGGCTAAACACCTGATACGACTTTCCTCTAGTTTTCGAATTTATAACTAAATTCGGGGGCGGCTATGTCTGAAAGGGTTATAGTTAATGCAGTTGTAGAATATCCATTTGTAAAGTTACCCCACTCTTATTTTGGTGGTCCAGTTTGTGACGTCACTTCCTCTAGATAGTCACTTCCTGTACAGCCGTTTCTTCCATTTTGTCCAAGCTGTTGGTGGTGGCAGACAGCCTCGTGTGTGTTCATGACTGATATGCAAGTTTGGTGAACCGTAGCACCTCTATGGATACATAAATAACCTATAAGTTCATTCAGTATCCTTTTTGTCTGTCTGGACATATTGTTTGGATTATTTAGAGGGAGTTCCTACAGTTTAATTGGTATCAGTTGCTATTCTCGCTTGCGGTCCCTATTTCACTTTTCTTAATTTGTGTTATGTGTGCTAAATACTGGTTTATTTGTGTATTATTCCATTTACTCCATGACTTCAGTTCAGTTGAGGTGTGGTATAATGCCAGGCTAATTGACAGCATGGTTTAGTAGTGTGGTACTTGCAACTGCAGTACCTTGGTTTGACCACCAGAGGTCCCTGGAGACCATATAATTTTGTCAGTGCCTCTGAGGCTGGAAGTCAGTATTTACTCTGTGTAACCCTTGAATGTGCATCATTTGGGAATATATTTGTTTTTTGCATATTTATTTCACCATTTGTACAGTCCTTTTACATCATTCTTTGTATTTATTTTCCAGACCACACGGGACCACAGAAATGTATAGATGTCCATACTTCTACTGTCATTAAATACGTAAAACTGTCTCTACGTGCCCTGCTCTCTGACCGGAGTCCTTATCTTGAAGATACTGTCAGATCAGCAAATAACTTCCAGAGTTCCCACTCTATCACGGTTATTGTGAGCAAAATTATCACGGTTTCCGGTATTATCGCGGTATTTTTTTTAAACGTGTTACATTTTCAGACAACTAAATAAACCCTGTATATCAGGAAAATATTGTCCTCAGTTTGTGTCTAAATTTAACCTAAAATGTGTTATTCTGTAATTATGTTGTTTATTTGTTTACATTTTTCCCCTTTAGTCTTTAAAATACCAATATTCGCCCATAACTTCTTATTTTTTGTCTGTTTGATGTCATCATTTTAAAAAATTTTAGTTCAGATGATACTCAGTACTCAAGTAGCCTACTAATCAGATACTTTTTTACCCTTACTTGAGTAATAAACCCTGTATCAGGAAAATATTGTCCTCGGTTTGTGTCCTTCCAGTGAGCTTTGCAGATGTGGGAAAATGTCATCAGGCAGTAATCGTTGTTAAATTCATAATTATTCTCGGAGAGAGACCAACTCTTATCTGCCCCTGGGAGCCCCGTAATGCATAGCGTCATTTCAACATGGCGGTGTCCGCGACACGGTTTATATGCAGGTAGCGGCGCTGCGGCTGCTTTATATAGCGATTCGTTGCATTCTCCCTCAACCCAAATCCTCGGATCACGCATTTTAGCTAAAACGCTAACGTTAGCTTGCCTTGCGTTGACTGTAGAGTTGTGGGTGATGGTCACGCAGATGTGTCATGAGATCTGAAGCGTTGCTGCCTTTCACAGACACTTTTTCTGCACGTGCTGCAAACAGGATAGCCGTCTTCTATCAGCTGTCCCTCGGCATTCTTCAAATATCCAAAAGATGCCCGTACTTCACACTTTGTCTTCTTTGAGGAATAATAAATGTCCTGAGCGCTGCCGTCTCCTCCTTTGGCCATTATTTCAGCTTTAGCTTCAAGAAAGTTTTGGTTGTAAACAACAAAGTGCGCATGTGCCACCGGCAACTTCAGCAGATGATACGGTGGCTGGTAAGGGTCACGGCGCCTACACCGCAGCCACGCTAATCCACCGAGATAATATAGTTTTTTTTAAAACCAAAACGGTTATTATTATTGTCAACTTTTTTACCGGGGTTTACCGCCACACCGGTTACCGTGACAACCCTACACTCCGGTTGATCAGGAATGCCGTCTCTCTCGTGTATAATCACCCCTAACTCTACCCACCGGGTGTTGTTTCATTTTATTTTTACTAAATTATGAATAATTATGTCAGCCTGATCTGATGACATTTGCTGCTGCCTGCAGCTGTAAGGACCTTGGGGGGGGGGGGGCATTTTCAGACCATCATATGGCACTAATGTGTATGTGTTGAAGCTTTTATCCTTGAACAAGAGTGGTTGCACCTGTGCAGCCTCATATCAGGTGCACCACTGGGAAAAGTGGTTGCCAGCTAAAGCCCCGCCCATGTTGAGTCTGGGGGGTAATACCCTCCAGAGACCCTCATCATGTTTCAGTTTCTCTCAACCAGCTGAATAATTGATCTCTAATGTAACACGGAGACAGAATCTTGCAGGACAGGTTGCGACTCGAAGATAAAAACTTACCCGAGGAGGAGGCCGGGCTGTGGGTGTCTGAGCTGCTCTGATTGGTGGAGACCTGCTGAGAACTGGGCTGAACCTGGATGGCCGTCAGCTGCTGAGGGACTCCAGCTCCTGATTAGCCAAGATAACAGAAAATGAGATGATAGAAGGTGAGACTGAACTGCCATTTTCTTGCAGATGTTGCAATTACCATTTTACTCAAATTAAGATTCAGAACTATTTGGTAACATTTACAAGGTTGACAGGAAATGACATCATAAAAACACAGAAAGCTGAAGCTAAAATTGAAGGCGAGAATTGCTCTCAACTAGAAACATATGTGTGAGTTTTCCCAGCATTATTGTACCAAAGATGGTCTCCTGGACCTTTTTTGAGCCGCCCAGATGTTTTCCTCTCTAAAACACCATAACATCTGACACGCGTACACCCTAACATCTGACACGCGTACACCCGAACATCTGACACGCGTAGTGTGATTTACGGTCATTCTGCAGAAGGTCTGAGCCATCAGACCGAAGAGAAGCAGTCCAGCCATTTCAGGGCACAGCTACTCAAGACACACACACACACACACACACACACACACACACACACACACACACACACACACACACACACACACACACACACACACACACACACACACACACACACACACACACACACACACACACACACACACACACACACACACACACACACACACACACACACACACACACACACACACACACACACACACACACACACACACACACACACACACACACACACACACACACACACACACACACACACACACACACACACACACACACACACACACACACACACACACACACACACACACACACACACACACACACACACACACACACACACACACACACACACACACACACACACACACACACACACACACACACACACACACACACACACACACACACACACACACACACACACACACACACACTCACACACACACACAAGGTGACGAGAGAAGGACAGAAATGGACCACTGACGAGAATTACATCGCTGTAGAGGCACCAGTTAAAACCTGGGGAAAACTCTGGATGTGTAAAACAGATCCTGGGTCAGTCAGAAGCACTGCAAAAGAAAAAACAGCTTCGGCGATCACATGATCCCGCGCCCACGTGTCCCTCATGATGTCCAGGCTGTGTTCATCTCTGAGGTCCAGCCTCCAACCGGCCTCCATCGGTCTGGGTCACCGAGAGTAGACCTACACCACTTTCAACTTTATCCACTTTCCTCCATCAGCTGCCTGGCTCTTTGTTGGCTTCCACAGGTTATGACACTAGCGCCCCCTGCTGTTTCGGCTGCGTAAAGGGCCCAATGCAACATTTAGGTCATACCTACCAGTCAGCCTTTTGTTGATCTAAACACACCACTATAGTGTCCACCACTGTTGTTTTTATGTCAGGACAGACAACCTTGTGCTACTGCTCTGAGTCTGGAGGCCACCCCGCTGTGATAAACCCCCCCACTTGAGCCGGTTCTGAGGTGTAACGGAAAACCAGCCGAGCAGCGGGAAATCCCGTTAGCGGGCCGGTTCCTCACCGTTTGTCTCCCCCACAGCTAGTGTAGCTTTAACTGCTCTGGGACAGCTGAAGGTCCAGGGCCCGGTTCTACAGGAAAAATCTATTCAGTAATAGGATTTTATTCACACACACACACACACACACACACACACACACACACACACACACACACACACACACACACACACACACACACACACACACACACACACACACACACACACACACACACACTGAGGGGAGGGGTTGTGGCTCCATGCTGACCTGACAGTGACACGTTGGCAGGGAGGCGGAGTAATGTGGGTGGCTGTGAGGGCGGAGCCTGTAGCACGGCAGTGGGGGCTGTGGGGTTCTGGATGGTGACGGGTTGCGCCTGCAGCTGGCTGAGGGGGAAGGTGTGTGTGACAGGGGGTAGTGAGGTACCTGGGTATGGGTAGGGGGGCGGGGCCAGAGACAGGTAAGATGTGAGAAGACAGGACACAATCCACAAAAATCCGAATGCTCCCAACCGGGTCAAAGCAAACCGGTTCAGAATAAACTGGGTCAGGCTGGTGAGAAACGAGCAAGAAGCCCTGCCTACCTACCTGACATCAAGGTGATTCCACTGGGAATGACGACACCTGCTGACGTCTTAAACACCGTCCCGTTGGTGGAGGAAGGAGGCTGCCAGGAGGAGGTGCTGGTCTGTATCTGCAGGGGCACTGAGGAGGGGGAGGGGGAGGAAGCGGATGAGGATGGCTGAGCGACGGCGGTCAGACCGAAGGTCGGCTTGATCAGGTCCTGCAGGGGGAGGCGAGAGGGGAGAAGGGTCACACCTGAGCAGGTAAAGTCAACCTGCTCCTGACAGAGACAACTAAATAAGATTAAAAGCAGAAGTTTTCATCCAGCTGCTGGTAAATCATAGAAATGTTACAGAAGCATTTATGTGATTCTCATCATCAAGATTAATTAGAGTGAACAAATCAAACACCTACTCTGCCCCCTGCAGCGTCTGTGTGCAGGACAAAACCTGCTGGTGATCAGATCACGTCCAGAAGGTCTTAAACTAAAATCTACGAGTGGAGGAAGCCGGTGACGAGAGCACGGGTCAGAGGAGCCATCTGGTACTTGGGAGTACCATCTGAACTGCTATTTTGCAGCATTTCCTGTGTTTTAGTCTAAAGGTGAGAAACGAATGTAGTTCATGATCTTATGTTCTTCCTGTCGGTCAGACCGGCCGTCGCTTTAACTCTGGTGTAAGAGGAACCTGGCGTGGATGAGCAGCATGGATCCAAACACCGGTACCAGGATTACA